TAATTGTAGCAAACCCTTTTGTAGGTGAATCAAAATTATCATTGTTGTAACAAATGAATACGTAATTGTAGCAAACCCTTTTGTAGGTGAATCAAAATTATCATTGTTGTAACAAATGAATACGTAATTGTAGCAAACCCTTTTGTAGGTGAACCAAAAATGATCATTGTTGTACCGAATGGATACATAATTGTAGCAAATCCTTTTGTAGTTAAAACAAAATTATCATTGTTGTAACAAATGAATACGTAATTATAGCAAACCCTTTTGTAGTTAAACCAAAATTATCATTGCTGTACCGAATGGATACATAATTGTAGCAAACCTTTTTGTAGTTAAACCAAAATGATCATTGTTTTAACAAATGGATACATATTTGTAGCAAACCCTTTTGTAGGGGAACCAAAATGATCATTGTTGTAACAAATGGATACATATTTGTAGCAAATCCTGTTTTATGTTAACCAACATTATCATTGTTGTAACAAATGGATACATATTTGTAGCAAATCCTGTTTTATGTTAACCAACATTATCATTGTTGTAACAAATGGATACATATTTGTAGCAAATCCTGTTTTATGTTAACCAGAATTATCATTGTTGTAACAAATGGATACATATTTGTAGCAAATCCTGTTTTATGTTAACCAGAATTATCATTGTTGTAACAAATGGATACATAATTGTAGCAAATCCTGTTTTATGTTAACCAACATTATCATTGTAATCGTCTTACCTCATGGTTACTAAACCCTTAAAAAACTTAAATATTACGAAAAAAAAATAATAACTCACTAGAATTGAATAATATTCTAGCGTTCTAAATATCTAGAATTATAATCACAAATTACATAACAACCACAAACATTTCGAAATCTAATACAGGCATAATTTATATGTTTCTATTCTTTCCGCTTTAGATTTCAGTTTGAATTTTATTTTCAGCTTGGCGCGATTGATTGTATATTCCACATAAGTATCATGTGATGAATATCATCAAATACTCTCTTGACGTTGTTAGTATCAGTGGCAGTTGTGAAGTGCCAGTAGCAGTCTCGTTTCTTGGTTTCCCTGTGCAAGTCGTAGTACATTTCCGTTGTACTCATGCGTCGATTTGTTGGTGGTTTCCTGGTAATTTCCTAAAGATAAGAAATGAGTTAAAATAAAATTTGAGTTGAATAATTCAAATTTAGCATAACAACAACAAAAAATTTGACCGCTATGCTTTAGATGAAAACGTCGAAGCTAGAACAAACAAAACCGGGCTTAGTTTCGAATTAATATTTAAGATTTTGAAATGAAAACTTCATTCAACATGTTTAACTAATATTAGATGCATTTGTGCAGGGGTTTGATTCCTTCCAGTGGGCACATCACGGATAGCCCACTGTGCAGCATTGTTCTTAACAATCTAACAAACAAACGTTCGAATGTTTATCATAATTTTGAAGTCAGTCAAAAGGTGATAAATTAAGCATTCCGACGCCATTTTTGTCCCATAGTTAAGAACGTTTTATTAAGTAATATATATATCGCTAAGTTTTCTTTTATATTTTTATTTTTGAGAGGATGACGTTTAGAGCTAGCACTCTTCGTCAGATAGTACCGCTTGCAATAAAAGAGCATGCGCAGAATTAAAAAAAAAAATGATGGGCAAGTAGCATTTTGAACGTTAAATTGCAGAACCAAGATACACCTATCGGCAAAAATGACAACATCAGCAACCACACAGGTGAAGACTTTTCGATTCTGTGACTTATTGGTGCTCCAACAGACATTCAGGAAAGAGAGCGATTGGAAATGAAATTAATCTAGAATCTGTGATTCCTACAACCACCTAATTTAAATGAACGATTTTCTTTCCTAAGTATTTTTTTTCGTACTTTGTTTCAATTTTAATGTTTTTTATTATCTTTCTATTCCTTTCATTTTCAAGACTTGTAATATTTTGGTGAAAGATGTAATTTTGCAGAGAAAATTCACGCTCAACGTTCAAAATGCTGCGCACGCAATTTGTTTCTTAAATTCTGCGCATGCGCTTTTATTAAAAGCTATATGATCTGACGAAGAGCGCTAGTTCGAAACGCCATCCTCTCAAAATAAGAATATAAAGAAAAACAACTTGGTGACTGTTTAACCTATTTTTTAACTTGTTACCGATAGGATAATCTGGGTTATACTATCCCAATTTGGGTTATACTATCCCACTGCTATCTCAAACAAGATTAGATAGGATTAACTACGTGCGAGCATTTTTAACATAACAATCATTAATTATTTTTGAAAATTTCTGACTATGGGTCCTCCTTATCCAGTTGAATATTTGTAAGTTAGGAATATTATAAAAACATTTTATAAAATGAACTGGACAATGCAGTGCAGTATATGGCACCATCATCAATGGCTTTATCTGATTGTCACCTTAAAAATAGTCCTCATTTTCAAAACCGTTATACTAAAACCTCATGAATTAAAAAAAAAACAAATAACATTTTAACTTACTGAATTTAATGAGAATACCAAGTAACAGATGCTGGTTGGGAATTTAACAGAGAATTTTATATTCAGGATTAAGAGATATATTTCTGTAAAGCTTTTTAATATTATGCTCTTATAAAAAGTTATAATTATTTTTATTTTCTGAATATTTCATGTTAAAACTTGAGTTAGTTTATGCACAAGTATTTACTCACTGTCGTGACTTTTGATTGCTTCTAGAGTGGTAAAGATACTTCATTCAGACAAAATATGTATATGTACCAAAATAGTGACAAAATATGTCACTAGATGGAGACAAAATACTTATAGAACTGTTTGAAATTAACCTCTTTTTTTTTTTTTTTTTTTTTTTTTTTTTTGGAAAAAAAAAAAAAAT